GGTTGCACAGGGCGTATGAGCAACGTTTTGTAAACTGCTTTGCTTTGCAGCCCACCACCCCACGCCCCAAACGCCCAAACTGTCTGCTTGTAGCATAATTGTGCGTCGTTAACTTGATTATGAAGGACACACACACACACACGCACACACACCCACACACATGCAGAGACAGTTTTAATGTGCAAATGGCGCACTTTAAGTCAAGCAATTGGAAACTAAATTGGAATTTTTACGACAGGCATCAAGCAGCTCAGCTCAGCTCAGCTCAGTTCGGTTCGGTTCAGTTCGGCAGCGCACAATGGCTGGCTAAGGGGGCGTGGCTGAGCATTGTGTGTGCGCATTTGACCGACAGCCCAACAACAATACACACACACACACAATTTGACTGCTGCTGCTGTTGCATGTGAGCATTTATAAAATTTCCCTTAGGCCCCGTTCGTCTGAATTAAATGTTGACGTGGCTAAAATTCACGCCTGACTTGGCTGCCGCTGCCTAGTCGACCATGAAAAATTGTCGCCTTTCCCCCTCCCTCCCCGAAAAAAAAAGAAATGTATAGAAGCGACTAAATAAAAGAATATTGCTACGCTTCAATGTGCCGCAAAATGTGTTGATAAAAAAAAAATAAATAAATAAAAATAAATAAATAAATTTAAAAATATGCTAATAAAATTTAGGTGCAGCAATTATTAATTTTGGGACATTTTCAATTTGTTTCATAAACATATAATTCGATTAAATGCAGCGATGCAATGCGCTGTGCATAAATAAATCAACAAGTGTTTGGCGCTCTCTCTCTCTCTCTCTCTCTCTCTCTCTCACTCCATCTCTCTCTCTGTTTTTAGCAGTCGATTGGAAATTGGCTTTGATTATTGACTTGCGGCAAGCGTTTGTTTGCTTCGCTTAGATGCAATAAATGCAGCTGTGGCTCGATACATGAAATTGCTGAAATTTCGCTGAAGGGGCCAAGTAAGACTGTGGGCGTGGCAGTAAAAAATCGTAGCTGCGCGCACAGCCAGCGGCTTTGCTTTTGATAAATACTTGTGCACATATAAGCAGCATATAGTGCTGTAAGTGTGTGTATGTGTGTGTGTGTGTGTGTGTGTTGTTTGCATAAACAGTTGGCAGCTCGCAGGGCTTGCGGCTGTGTGTGTGTGTGTGTGTGTGCGATGTGAGCGAGTGTGTTAACTATTTTTGCTGCCTGCAATTGCCTCGAGGCTATTGACACATTCACAAACACTTTTGCCACAATCTGCTGCTGCTGCTGCTGCTTCCTCTCACTCTCTCTCTCTCACTCGCACATATTTTTCTTCTTCTTCCTCTTGTAGCCTGCAACCACATTTTGTGCATTTCATGCTGGAGCATTGGGTATTTTTTCTGTATTCGGTTTTTGAGGCTGGCAAATGCAAAGCATTTCGTGCGGTTCGCTCAGCTCGTGTGTGCTCGGCGCAAATAGCGCAATTCATTTGAACTTAAGATTTGGTAAACAAAATCGCATATCAATTGCAAATAGCGCAGGCAAATGTATTTTCCTATTTGCTCATCTTTTTTCTCTCTCTCTTTGAGCTAAGCTATTTAATTTGAGTATTTGCTGTCAGGCGGAAGTTGAGGCTTTTAACACTGTTTCATTGGTAATTAAAAATCCAGCAGATGCCTTGAAGGAGCCTCCATAGGCTGTCTGCCCCTTCCGGATGCTTGGCAAAAATTTAATGAGCCCTAGAACAGGCGGCTTTATTGACTAAGACCATGTTTTCTATGTAATCGCATTAAATTCAAAGAAACGTATTTGCTTCTATTTAAATGTGGAAATAAATGTGGAAATATATATATGTATTTGGGAAAACCTTTTATGATAGCCCAAGCGAATTAATTATGAATAAATAAACGAAATTCGAAATATATATATAAACGTTTACATACATACATACAAATATACATATATAAGAGCAGCACTCTGTGCCCCATTTAATAACTGAATTATTAAGAGAAGCCAAAAAGGAAACAAAAAAAATGTATATAAAGCATGCCGGAATTTGTGGCGCTTATGCTGAAAGCTCAATAGAAAAAAGAAAGAAAATAAAATCCAAATAAATCTTATGAATTGTACGTCGAATTATGACTTAATGCAAATTATGTATGCAACATTGTTGAAACTTGAAGACATTTGGGGAACAATTTAAGGCCACTTCAGTTATAATAATTGCTGAGCTCTGCTTAGTTTGGAGAGTTTTTTTTATTATTATTATTATTTATTATTATGATTTATTATTATATTATTTATTCATTTTTTTTTTTTAATTTTGATATATTTTATAATATATATATAATATAAATATAATAGAAACAGACGGACAGAGCTAAATCGACTCAGCTCCTCGTTCAGATCAAGAATATATATATGTATACTTATACTTATATGGGGTCTGCCACGCCTCCTTCTGCCTGTTAGATAGTTAGATTAGGTATCAAGAAAATAATTTATATAAAGCTAAGGAATTTCTATATGGAGTAGTCCATATCCACATTTTTTGTGTGTGTCCAAATATTTTAAACCGAACCAGAAACCCTCAGCACATTCAGACAAACTTCTACCAGGCCAAAATGCAAATTGATCGAAACCTTAAAGTTGATCACAAAATATCTCTATACCTAGACCGTAGCAAGTCCGTGCAAGCGACTTTAGAAGTTTCTGTTGTAAATTTGATTTTCTACTCAAGTGTTGTTGGGCCAATACGAAATGCTAATGAAATATATATTACACCGACTCCGTGCACCTAGTTAGAGTCTGGCTGCACTTCTTCAGTGTATGTGTTTTCCGACCACAAATACCAGGAGCTGCTGCAGATCTCGGCTGGCTTTAATTAAGTTTGAGTCATTCAAATTAGCAAGAAATTAAACCAAATTAAACCCAATTAAACCAAATTCAACCCAAAGGCAAACTATTTTGTGGGCTTTTTTGATTTTTGGCTCGTCTAAGTGAAAGTTTTCTTTGGAAACTATTTTGCATATTGGTTCTCGTTTTTGTTTACATTTGTTATTTGAGCAACATTTTTATTAAATTTTCGACTTTGTTGTTGAAATGAAAACTTAATTGAGAGCATTTCGTACAGCTTGTATTTGCAAGCATCCATAAATCAGGCTTCAATTGAGTGTAATCACAGAGGGAGAGTGAGTGAGTGAGTGAGTGAGTGAGAGCGAGAGGGCTATACCATAGTCAGTGTCATTGTGAGCTGCTGCTCATTGTCGTTGGCTTCACGCTGTCATCATTCTCAGCACACAATTTAGTTTTATTAACCAAGCCAGGCGAGCAGCTGGCCATGGTCGAGAGCTGAGAGTGGAGATGGGGCGGGCAGGCGGGGGGGGCGTGGCGAATGGCACCAAGAAAAATGAACTGCACTTCTTGTCGCTTGTCGCTGCTGATGTTGATGACTGCCTGTTGACAGTAGCTTGGCGGTGCAAACAATGCCGGCCCGGCCCCTCAGCTCGCTCTGGCCGGAACGACGAGCGGCTTTTGTTGGCCATGCATAAGCCAATCTGCACACTCAGCCAGACAGAGGGACAGACAGACCAGCCTGGACTCAACTCTTTTGTGTTTGCCCCTGGGATCACTTGAGATTGCAAAACTAATCAAATCCCAAGCTTAAAGTCTCACGAGCAACGCCCCATCGAGAGTGGAAAAGGAAAAGAAATTGTTTTTTGAAATATTTTGCATAATTTTATTATGTTTTATTTTCTGCACTTTTGTTGACTCTTGTAATTTTTGTTACATTTAACTACACATACTTAAGAGCTAGTATTTTTTTCGAATGCATTTTTTTATATATTTTATTTTTCTTTATGTCAAATAATTTTTTTTCTATTTTTTATTTAGTTTTCTTTTAATTTTAGGTTATCATACACATCAATTAAAGTTATTATGTACACTGCAAATAGTATTTAAAGGGGAGGGGGCGGCGAGGGCGCACGTTGTGGAATTTTCTATTTAATTTACTCGAGTTTACCCTTTGCGTTTAAAAATACGAAATATTTCTTAAGCTAGAAAATAGTTTATTTTTGATTACTCTGTTCCTTGCTGCTGCTGCTGCTACTGCTGCAGCCTTGTTTGTTCTTCTTCTTATACATATATATTTATTTTGTATGTATATATATTCTGTTTTTGATTAGCAACTTTTACACATGGCCAAAAGTCTTTGTTTGTAGTAACCAACATTGAAATTTCAGCTGCATCGGCAGCTTGCTTCTGTTTTTGTTTTTGTTTTCTCTCTTTATTTATTTATTTTTATTTTCTTTTTTTTTGTTGCCTCTAAGCAAACATCTTATGCTTAAATATTTACTTGGCTATGCGAAAGTTCAACAGAAAAAAACTATACCAAAATAATGTATATATATTTATATTTACAGCATTGATCAAACAACAATTTGAATGGAACTTTGGCCAAAATTAAATTTAATTTATACGGTATGTACAATTTTAATTAATATATATTTATTTTAGTTTACTCGGAATTGGTATTTTATATATATTATATTAAACTATATAGTTGACATATTAATTAATTTGTTTATGTTCCTCTTATTTATTGCTAGTTGTTAATGCCAATTTCATTTTTGTTGTTGCTTAAAATCACTTACATAAAAGCTTCAATTAGCTTTTAGTTAGAGAATGTATTTTTTTTTATTTTTGTTTTTTGTTTTCGCTTTTAAATACACTTTGCTGTATTAAATGCACAGTTAATAATTTATTTGATTACTTGATTTACTTGATTTCTTATCATTCTTAACTTATAAGTGAAAAAGCGCTGCTTGAACTCCCTCTTCCTGCACGTGTCTCGATTACACGGAAGCTAGCAAACGAAAGGCTCAATCAAACACATGCATACTCAAATCACACTCATACTCTCATGCACTCACACGCTCATGCACTCACACATATATATAAAAGTAATTACACATACGCACACACTTACATACATATATGTTGATTTATTTATTTTATTTTTTAAGAGAGCTTAGAGATGATTAAATGTTGAAGAATTGTAATAAGGTTTTGTTTTTTACTTATGCATTTAACTTAATTATCGCCTTTACGTTCCCTTTGATGAAGTTTAGTTACAAATGTTGCGGGCAGCGAGAGTCTCTAGACAATCTTCATATAGACACTTGTGTGGAATATCCGATAGCCGATGGCAATCATTGCCATCACGTTGTGCAGCAGCTGCCGCTGCGTCGTTTTGGTCGAGCCGCCCACATGTCCGTGATACATGGCCGCAGGATTATCGCCTGTGAGAGAGATGAGCGTGGAGATAAAAATCAAGGTAAAAATGTGTTCAAATTAATTAAGACCCACACATACGCTCAGGTAGAAATAATAATAAAAAAAAAAAAAAACAACAACAAAAACAAATGCTAATGATAGCGCTTGCCGCACAACCTATGCTGGCCATATAAGTTATGAGCTTTTGCCACGCCCACACACACCCACACACACCCACACACACCACTTGTAGGTGTCTGTGTCTGTGTGTGTGTGTGTGGTTTAGTGTTTATGGCCTGGCTTTAATGGCCGCCTTGGTGGTTCGGGCATTTTTAATCCGCCTGACTCTGTGGCCCTGTAATTTTCATAAATTACTTTTATTGTTTTCTCTCTCTATCTCTCTCCTTTGCATATTGTTGTTGCCTTTTCGCACTTGATATATGAACTGTAAAAGCGCCAGGCACAACTACACAAATACGTTTGCAAATAAAGATATACAGATGCAGATACGCATACAGATACGGATACAGATACGGATACGTATACAGTTGCAGATAAATTTGCATTTATGTGGGTTGACGCAGTTGTCCATCTTTTTTATTTTATTTACATTTTATTTACTTTTTTTCCGGGCTCACTGTGGGCTTAAATTTTATTTCGGCTTCAGCTTTTTTGACTATTGTAAATTGCATTTTGTCGCTACTTTATTTAATTCAATTATAAACACAGCGTGCAATTTCAACATTGAAAAGTTCATCTGCATATATTCAGTCACGTTTCCTGCTTTCGCGTTAGCCTGAAGGCTTTCAGCGTTCTATGCTTTATGGCGAAGTTTCATTCGACAATGCATCAATTGAGAATGTGTGAAAAGTTACAGAACAGTTTCGATTACATGCTCGTATGTATTTTATACATTTGTGTTTCATTCATATATTTCCAATATAAGTTACAAAGTAAATAAATAAAATTAAATCTATTAAATATATTATAAAAAAAAATAGAATAATAATTAAAATCTTCAATATATTCAATACTCAATGCTTAAATTAAAATATATATAAATAAACTAAAAATGAATATTAAAATATATATATATATTTTTATTTGTGAATTTTAGATGAAAGTATTTTGTTCATGAGCAAAAATAAAAATTTAAATAATATACAAAAATTAACAAAATAATATAAAATAGACTTAAATAATGTAGAATAGAATTAGATAAATAATTTGCAATTATAAAAAATTGCTATTTAAATAAATATTAAAATATAAATATTAATATTTAGAGAAATCATAAACTAATATTTTACAAATAGTATTTTCTAAATTTTTCTATTAACTCTCCACAATTTTTTAATTGATTACGCAATCAATAATAATCACAAGAAACGTTTTATCCCATACGTAATTAATTATCACATATTGAAGGGTAACAAATTATTTTTCCATAAAAACGAGTTAATATAAAAACTTTAAGCCATAAATCAAATGCAGAATGTGTGAGATTCCATTCGCATTGATTGCAAAGCTGCAGTCATTTACTTATCTTATTTGTTTTTTTTTTTTTTTTTTCACAACTGCATTAAGTATACGCACAGTTAAACAACATAAAAAATAGCGAGCTATCGATGCAGTTGAGGCGCTGACTCACCTTTGAAAATGTGCACCAAAACGCTGGCTGGCTGCGTATTACTGGCCACACAGGTAAAATTGCCGGAATGCTCACGACGGGTGCGCTGAATTGTAAGCTCCGATGATTGAAAGTCTGCAGTGAAGTGAACGCAAAAATGCAATCGATGTTATGGTTATGCTGGGTTTGAGTTGGGCTTGGGCTTCGAGTTGGGGTTTGATGTTGGGATATGGGGATTTGGGTTTTTTTCGAGGCAGGTGTCGTAAATATTGGGAAGGCTGAAGCGGGCAGCACTCACCTGGCTCCGTTGACACATTAATGCCCCGATCAATGTCATAATTAATCATGCGGTTGTCGTGATACCAGAATATATACTCGGATGCCTCGGTATTCTGGACCACGCGACATTGCAGGCGCAGCGTCGACCCGGGCGTCAGATAACGTATGGGGGGTCCTGATATTTCGGCGCGCGCTTCTAACCGAATTGAATGACATTTTGGGAAATTGAATTGCCATTGCCACAATCGGATGTAGTGTGTGTGTGTGTGTGATAGATGTGGAAAGGTGGCAGCGCAGTAGAGATGAAAGATTTGTAATTTAATCAAATGTAAATGCAAATGCGTGTTAGAATATATACATATATATGTAATATATACTAAATCGGATAGTTGACTATTTTATACAAGTGGCGTATGCAAAGAGCTATCTAATTGGAAATTCTAGATAGTCTAGTATACTTGACAATCCTTACTATTGTTATTGTATATGCATTTAATACTGCTAATGATTTTTTTTTTAGCAAGAAATTCTTTTTTAATAATTTCCAAGCAACGTATTTATTTTTATTATTATTTTTGGTTCAGGGAAAACAAAGTAAGCTGCAATCTTTAATATTTCTTCTATTATTAAATTTTATTAATTTATTTTTTTTCTTTAAGAATTTAGTTTCTGTGGCTCTGGTTGCATTTACTAATAATTAGATTTAAACACAATTTTTGTTTTTTTCGACAATTTTTATTCGATTTGACAAGCATCATTATCGTATCTATCGACTTAGTTCACATCTGCTAAAATATTCCAGGCATATTCGACAATCTGTTCTTTTAGAGAAGAAAATAAAATTTTCTTTGCTGATAATTTCACGGTCAGATGATTTAAGCCATTCAAACTATTTACTTGCTGAAGCAAAAATAAATTGCTCGGCCAAGGTTTTCAAAATCTCGACTACTTCACAATTTTTGTTTGCTCTATTTTTTGTATTCCCGCCCTCCACGCGCTTTGTTGCCAATGTTTTGGGCCAACATCTGCAGTGGGCCAGAGCTGCGCATCAACTGGTTCGACCGAATTTCTTCAGCATTTGCGTGTTGTATATATATATATATATACATATATATTTATTTTATTTTTCTCGATGCGCTCATGCTGAAATTAGAAATGTCCATATGCCAGTTGCAAGAGAGTTGGCAGCCAAAAAAAAAAAAAAAAAAAAAAAAATGAAAAAAAAAAAAAAACTAAAAACGAAAAAAAAAAAAAAAAAAAAAAAAAAATGTAAAGAAAGAAAAAAGCTAAAACTGAAAATGAAAAGCAAAGGCATAAAAAAGGGACACCTGCCCAAATGGTAGCGAGTCAGCAAAGTTGCCTCCCAGCAAACAACGTTGTCGACGTGGTCCATTGTTGTTGTTGTTGTTGTCGTGTTGTTGGCCTTGGCTAACGCTAACTGACACACATTATTCTGAATTTAACAAACAATTTACTTTGAATGTGCTGCGCCTAATGGCCTTTTCTGCACAAAAATAAAAAGGCCACGCAGACACACACACACACACACGTGCGTTGCCTGGCTGAAACTGATGTGAAATGCGAAGTGGAGAAAAAAAGTAAAGAGAAATAAAAGTTTGCTACACATTTTTGGCAACGTCTCGCATGAATCAGACACAGACTGGCGACACACTTAATCAGATTCATGCTTTTAGCTCAACTTGCGCGCATTTAAGAGCTCAGACTCTCTCTCTCTCTCTCTCTCTCTCTCTCTCTCTCTCTCT